GCATGGCCAATCAACCTAGCCTGCACTTTGGGAGGAAACCCACGCAGACACAGGGAGAATATGCAAACCCCACACAGACAGTCACCCGAGGGTGGAATCTAACCTGGCTCCCTGGCACTGTGAGGCAGCAGTGCTAACGACTGAGCCACCGTGTCGCCCAAATTCACTCTGCATTCACTCTGCAGTCATTATTCTAATAGTCATAAACCATTTTTCAATTTGATATGAGACACTGCAAACCTGTTCAGTGGTGTAGATTAAATCATTCTACTTGCAATCATATTCACAGGCTTATTGTGTTTATTTCCAGCAAAACATTTGCTTGCAAGTAATTCATTTCTTGTAGCTAGAGCATTGCTTTTGCCACAATGAACTTATTTCCTTTTCTTTCTTGTGGTTTCTTTTGCAATATTTACATCCTGTACTCTGTCCTCACTCTTTCTAATGACCCTTCTGATAATATTTCTTCCATTATATTGATCTTGTCAGGCCTGGACAGAATAATCAAATCCATTTTTCCTTTAATATGGGTAATGTTTTACTCTCTAACTGATAATCAGAGTTTCTGTACATGACAATAGCTTTCTTCACAATTATTTCCTCTTCCTTCTGCACACATACTTGCACAGTAAGAGCACTTACACCTAAACCAATCTTATCACTGATGTCATCATCTTTCATTTACCCAAATGCCCAAGATTCAGCTAGATGCTTCAATGCAGCCACATACTAATCAATATTTTTATACTTTTCCTGAGCTCTTTATTAAATGAATACTATTCATAAATAAAATGACTAAAGGTTTCAAATTGGATCTTCATCATCTTCAAAATTTCTTGAGACTAATTTTCTGCTATTCAGTGAGGCCTAGGCAGAAACAGAGCTTTAACTTTGTTTGTCCCCCAGCAGTGCTAATAGTGTTGCTTTCCTATGTTTTCTGTTTTAACATGGTTTAAATCTGTAGCTATCACATAATTCTAGAAGAAGTTCTTATTCTATCTCACATCACGCTTCATATCCATAGGAGCATGACTGGAAAATTCATAGCTATATGTACTCACCCAATTGTACAGAATTAGTGTTTCTTACAGCAATTGGCTCTCTTACAGCTGACAAAATCCACACAATGTCAGCTCCACACTTCTGACACCATGCTCTATGTGCAGGCTTTAATGGCATCTGCTTCTAAAGTAGACATTCGAGGTCACACAACTATGACCAGTCACAGAGTACAGTGTACAAATGGATTTCTCCAAACAGCCATCTGGACCTTGTATGGGTAGATAAACTCAGTCTGTAAATCAATTTCTGGTGGGCTTAGTGTCACCATAGTCTATGTGTAGGACCTGCTTGTTTCAGTATGGTAGAGAAAAACCACTTCCTGATCTAAATAAAAGAGCATTTTGTATTGAACAAGAAGTAGTTTATTGCATCTTTGCAACTTGTTACGGAATGCATTGATACGATAGATATTGCTGCAGAGATTGTGAGGACACTCCTTTGTGATCCCACATTGCTTTCGCCATTAATCCATATAACAATATCATAGTGGGTAGTGCTTATGGAACTCCTCAGTATTAACACTTTTAGGCTCATATACAACATAGATAAACTACTAGGGTTTGTTTGTTGCATTAAATCCATACACTAAGGGCTGAATCTTCAAATATTTTGGCTAAATGACAATTTGGGGGAGTTTCATGGAGGATTTCCCTCCATGAGCCTTGGTGAGTTTTATCTTCATTAACTGTGGAGCCAGAATCCACAAAGTCACTTGAATACAATCTTACTCATGTCAGAACTGGGACCTTCTGCTGTTCACACTCAAGGCACCACATTTAAACCCCCGGTGCCACCAATTCAAATGTTACAAACCAGAACCTGCCATTAATATGTGGCTATATAATTCTAAAGGACAGAGAGGGAACTTGGCAGCCCACTTCCCAGACACCTAAAACTGTGAAGCTCGAGAAATTTTTAAAGTTCTGAGAATTTAATACTATAGCTTAACCCCACTGTTGGAAACTTGAAGTTTGGCTTCTCACACATTTAAGTTCCGCCACATTCAATGCTCCCCACTTTCAAGAACACCACCAGATTCTACCCAAAAGAACAGACATCAGGTGCAAAAGTTTGCTCGGCCTCAATAGTGCTCCATGGAAAGCCAATGACCTCATCAAATGTAGATTTGTGCTGAGATAGACAAGTGCCCCAACCGCTTCTGTTTCAGTCAGGGCTTTTTGGTGGATGGCATCCATGCTTGGCACTGGTGTGGGAGCTGATTTAAAGTTGCTCCAGATGCTCAGCCCAGATTTCACAGAAACTTGAGATCTAGACAGGACCACCTAACACTCGGAGAAAAATGAAGTAAACGTCAGTCATGGGGACATATCCTGAAAACCCGAATGAGGAACAATTAATCAACTATTCACATCCTGCCAGGAATGGAGGGTTTGAGATATAAAAGTAGATTGGAAAGGCTGGGACTTTTTCACTGGAGTGTAAGAGGTTGAGGGGACAGCTTATTGAGGTTTATAAAATCATAAGGGGCATAGATAAGGTGAATGACAAGGGTCTTTTCCCTAGGCTGGGGGAGTTCAAAACTATGGACATATTTTTAAGATGAGAGGAGAAAGATTTAAAAAGGACATGAGGGGCAACTTTTTTACGCAGAGAATGGTTTGTGTGTGGAATGAACTGCCAGAGAAAGTGATGGATGCAGGTACAGTTAAAACATTTAAAAGACATTTGGAAAAGTATATGAATAGGAAAGGGTTGCAGCGATATGGGCCAAATGCAGACAGGTGGGAATAGTTTAGTTTAGGAACATGGTTGACGTGGTCTGGTTGGACCAAATTGTCTGTTTCCATGCTGTATGACTCTATGATCATATTACTGTCTATTTATTTTCCATTTTCTTGTTCGTCTTTGACTCATCAGTTGCTTCCAAATGCCTTCATTGCTCAAACGGCAAGTCATTTTCTTCAATGCTTCAGTGTTACTCATAAATCGGGATTTAGCATATCTTAACGATGTAATTTCTGAGAAACTGCGTCTATGATCCTCAAAACTCACTGAAAGATATTTGAGATCATAATATGGCAAACTGACAAACCACATCCTCAGCTTTTCTTCTGTATAATCGTTGTGCTTAAAGCCACAACTCAGAAATTGACTGCAACAATGATGTTTCGGGCTTTCTTCAGCTCTGCGATGATTATTTACTTCCTAACACCAGGTGGTAAGTGCATCTAAGTATTTTGAGCCTACCATTTTGCTATGAATTATTAGTTTCTATGTATGTAGGTTTATACTTTAAATATGCAGAAGCATCCGAATAAACATATGAGATATAAATAGCATAAATGCCAGAAACCTGTAATGAAAATGAAAAGGGGAGTGAATTAAAGAAGACGCACTTATAAATGAACAGTTCCATTTCCTTTTCTCCACATCTTCATGGAATCCTTTTAAACTGTTAATAGAGTGGGTAGGAAACTTGAAGCACCCTGCGGGAATTTGACAAGCTTTCCCTACTGGGATCAGAATGAGCAGGAGCACTCATGTGTGCAAGATAAGCTCAGGCTTGACTGCAGTATTTTCTCCTCACCCGGTTCAACACACCATCACCCAGTTACTAAACTCTGACAACACATAGCCTGACATGTCTGGTCGCAGGAAGCCTTCCCTAGGTTCAGACAGGCCCCTGGACCACCTGATCTTCTTCCCCTGAGTCCCATCCCATCATCCAACTGACACCTTTTGTACCCAAAACTACTATGTAGCTGAAATGCCCAGCAGCTAAGAGGAAAAGGCACTGATCAACTGAACTGCTCTTTTCTGAAGATTTCATCACAGTTTGATTTCAATCTTGCAAATGATGGCAAGGTTTGGAGACATTTAAAGCTACCCCACTCTGTGTGTGGAAAGAATGTCTCTTTAACAAAGTCCTAGAGTCCTGCCAGCATGAAGACATTCAGGAGGGTCAGAGTGGGGGCGTGGGTTTAAGACAAACATATCTCTTTGACAATTTGAGTCTCAGGGCCAGCATCAATTCAAATTACAAAATGGGGAAAAGTTTAAGGGAGATATGCGTGGAAAGTTCTTTACGCAGAGGGTGGTGAGTGCCTGGAATGCGTTGCCAGTGGAGGTGGTAGAGGCAGGCACGGCAGCGTCATTTAAGATGTACCTAGACAGATACGTGAATGGGCAGGGAGCAGAGGGATACAGATCCTTGGAAAATAGGTGACAGGTTTAGATAGAGGATCTGGATTGGCGCAGGCATGGAGGGCCGTAGGGCCTGTTCCTGCGCTGCAATTTTCTTTGTTCTTTGTATACTTTGCCTTTCCTACAAAAAGTGTAAATGGATAGAGTTTCTTCTGCTAACTTGTACCAGATCTTAAGTAGCCTTACTAATGGCCCTTAGAAGGAGTGTTGAGGATTACAGCTACATGGCCCCTAAATGTGAAAATGTCTGTTTTGTGCAGTTGAAAAGAGCAGAATGTTCATCATGGCTCTACAAGTACCTGCCAGCGGCCGTCAGGCCAGGGCACCCTCTCTGTAAAAGTTATCTACCTCGCAGGTTCCACCTAAGCTCTGTTGCTATCATTGAAGCCAGTCCAAATTGTTGTAGACAGAATCAAGAGCTGTTCCCTCTGGGCATCCATTGTTCTCTGGTTCCCAGAGATATGGTCCAACGCAAAGTTTCAGGTACAAGTTCCATTTTTACTCTCCGGATTCAACCAAGTATTCAAACAATTAGTAATTTTAACCTGACCAAATAAATTCATCATTCTGAGGAAGGGTCACCGGACCCGAAACGTTAACTCTGTTTTCTCCTTCACAGATGCTGCTAGCCCTGCTGAGCTTTTCCAGCAACTTTGTTTTTGTTCCTGATTTACAGCATCCGCAGTTCTTTTGGTTTTTACAATTCATCACTAGTAGTGTTCTCTAGTTTAGTCACACGTCTGCTCCCAAGCAATATCTGTTTGGTCTTTCAGACAACTGTGTCGAAATCATTGGGGGGAAAGATGTCAGAGCTCATTCCAAACCTTATATGGCATCACTCCAGATTAATAATTATCACAAATGTGGAGGAGCATTAATCAAGCCCGGATGGATATTGACTGCAGCTCACTGCAATTTGTAAGTTATAAATACTATATACGAGTGTATGAACTATTTTCAAAATAGTTTAGTGTCTAGTATATTTTCCCTTCAATGTTGAAAGTGATTTTGCACAGCCTTTGGTGATCCATAAGTGAGATACATCCATTGCCTGGGCCCTAAATTTCCTCGATAAACACAGCAGGCCAAGCAGCATCATAGGAGCAGGAAGGCTGACGCTTAGGTCTAGGCCCAAAACGTCAGCCTTCCTGCTCCTATGATGCTGCTTGGCCTGCTGTGTTCATCCAGCTCTACACCTTGTTATCTCAGATTCTCCAGCATCTGCAGTTCCTACTATCCCTAAATTTCCTCATTGCCTTCAGTGCTTATACCATTTCTTATGCTGTTATTCACCTTAAGATATCAGAGAAGTCTGTATTTTTGTGTAATACGTATATTTGTACCATTAGTGCATCAAACAGAAGTTTCCCTAATTTATTAAAGGCTTCACCTTTTACATGCATGCGGAAATTCACACAATTGCATTATCCTCGTCTGTGGAAAATTCTTAGATCACTTGAAGAATTATTGTAACTTCACACACAAAGCAACTAACAATTTCACCTGGCACTTCAGGCAATTGCAAACAAGCTAAAGCAACAGTACGGCTTCTCACAAATTTCTTTTTAACTGTTGCTGCCTTCCCCTTCCCCGCCACCCCAGCTCGCACAGTCTGGGATTTTGAGGACTGCTGACAGCTTTGTCATGAGGAATTATGCTCAACTGCTATGACTGCTCAATCTGTGGCAGGGTCTGCTCACACATTTACTGCACAGGAGGTGAACACCTTCTTTCATAGGGCAGACAATTTTCTCAATGTGAGCATCAATTTTACGCATGGAACCAATGACATACAGGCATTAAAAATACAGCACAGAAGAAGACATTATGACAATGTACAATGCCAATGCTATCCTTCTTTGTAATGGAGATGGTAGGAACTGCCAATGCTGGAGAATCTGAGATAACAAGGTGTAGAACTGGATGAACACAACGGAAAAATTTTTCTGAAGGGTCCAGACCCGAAAAGTCAGCTTTCCTGCTCCTCTGATGCTGCCTAGCCTGCTGTGTTCATCCAGCTCTACACCTTCTTTGAAATAAATTGATTTTTTTTAGATGACACTGCCTCTTGGTTGCACGCACATGGGAGTAAAATTGCCAATTGAACAGCCACTGACGTAGGTGAATAGTGAATAGTACGAATGCATGATTGCAACCCTGGCTATGTTCTCATTCACTACTGAACGAGAGTGGATGCTACAAAACATCTTCAATGGCTAATCAACTGCACTGGCAGTGTCTCAGCCATTTCCTCTCCTACCTAACCTCTAAATGGCACCAGAGTGACAAAAGAACTTTACCACAAATCTTCAACTGAGTTTAAAAAAAACTCACACAATTGAGTATTATCTTTCCTGAAAGGGTTTCATGATCATAAGTGGCAAATTCCAAGATACCTGCATCATGTAGGTCAAATAATACCTTTTCTTTACTTATAGAAGAATGATATGTCCAAATTATGAGAAATTCCACTCTGTCTTAGTCCGATGTTTCTCCCATACCAGGCTGTACCTCTCTCCCGCCTGCATTTATGCATTCTTTAAACCCTATCAGTGGAAGGCTGCTCCTGTAAGACTTAAGGGTGATAGGATAAAGTTGACACTTGAATCAAGCCAACTGACTCCTCAGAGTAAGATGGTACTGTTGTGGAGTGTGCTCCTGGGCAATATGCTCTTGTTCACAGCTGTTCACCGCCACAGTATTCTGCAGGGGACTAAGAGACAGCTATTGCTATTCCACTGGGCCCTCAGTCTGCAGCCCCTCTGATCAGCTGGATGCTGTTTCCCGGCATCCTGGTGAAGAAGCTAGTGAGCTGTCATCTTGAACTGCTGCAGTCCTTGGTGCATAGGGGCACCCATGGTTCTGTGAGGAAGAGAGATCCAGGAATTTATCCCATCTGTACTTCTTATAATGTGATAATAAAATTTAGGAGGGTCCTAACCATTCCATGAGCAGCCATTACATTGGAGGTTACGAACACAAATGGCTTTAATTTTTCACAATGGGTTTGAAATAGTTATAAATCTACATTAAGCGGTTATGGGATTTTAAAAAGACAATCTGAAGTGAATAATGATTAAATTGTTTATTTACCTCATTTTTCTTCTTAATTTATATGCAGCATTTTTAAACATCATGAGGTTAAGGCGGTTCTTGGAATTGATATTCTGAATGAAAAGAAATCAGCACAAATTATCACAGTGAAGGAGAAATTTCCTCACATTTGTTTTGACAACAAAACCAAAGAAAATGACATCATGCTGCTCCAAGTAAGTGGTTTGGAGTTAAGGATTTCTATAGGTTCTCGCATTGTATGATGATACAAATAGAATAATCTGCTCCTATTTAAAATTAGTTGTCAAACCACAGGATCCTTTTCAATTTCCATTCCATTCCCAAAATGCCCTGTACCTTGCCTCCTCCTAAAGTGCAAAACATTTCATTGTATGATGTTCCCAGTTATGTGCAAATCAAAGCCACCAGTTCTTTTCTTTATTTTCCACATACTGATTATTTGGATTAGACATCTTCATTCAAATTGTTTCTTAATGCATATTGACAAATTTAAATCAATTCCAACTTACATTTTATTTAGATTTTATCCCTTCACAACTAAGCATTTATTGCAATAAAGTTAATTAAATTTATCAAAGGTTCATGTTCTTATCTGTAAAGAGTTAGGGCTTAGAGCCAGAGATGCAGAAAAATATTACATACAGATAGCTATAATTTACAAATTTAAATGAAGTGCTGTATCCTACATATTTCATCATAATTTTGTTCTGGCCTAGTCACTAAGAATGTATTCGACTTTTTAATATATTTAAGAATATAGACCAAAAACAGACAGGTGCAGAGAATGTAATTTGAAAACAAAATAGTGGGCTACATTAGGCAGCCCAACCTTCCACATAATCATAATGTACTTCCATTATGGGGTTGGGTTGGCATTGTAATATCATCACAACAATATCCAAACATCTGGAATTTGAGCTTGTTCAGGACCCAACTGTTTGGAAATTTTCATTGCCTGCTGCATTTTTTGGTTATTAGCCATGAAAAAGTTGGGAACTCATTTTTTTGGCAGCAATGATGAAGAGGTAGCACAAGCTAGAAGAAAAGGCCTGCCTCTAGGATTGTGCTGAATGTGTCAGAAGTCTCTGCTGGGGGAAGGAGATAACATCTCCATTTTTTTTCATAAAACTAGCTTCTGAACTTTAATGAGACTTCAATAAAAATTAAAGAGACATTCAGTGTGTAGGAGTCCTTGGAATTTCTACCCATGACCAACTTTTAGTTTTCAGCATTGGCCCTCTGCCCACTGATGCCCATGCCTACAGTCCCAATTGGGCACAGAACCCCCAGTGCTCCTCCAATTAATCTCCTTCCTGTCCAGTTGATTGGATGGCTGTAAAGGTGAAGGCAACAGCAAGTGCTCAGTTCCACCTTCTTCACCCACTGAACATCATAAAACCCAGGTAATTTTGAAAAATGTCAGAAGGTGAGGCAACATCTGTGGAGAGAACAGAACAAGTGGGTATATCAGATGAAGAACATTTAAAAACGTGTTTTGTTTCTGCCTCCCTTCCCTTTGTTCTGTTCAGTTTTAATTAAGCTTCTCCACAATTACTGTGTAATCCTCATGAAGCATCCACACTTGAATAATTAACTGTCAGTTGTCTCCACAGTTGTTAACTGGCCTGGCAATGTATCCAGAATTTCCTTCATGTCCTATTGAAGATTACGCATGATTAATAAAAACTTGCAGAGAATTTGAAAGAAGATATAACAATTACCTTTACTTATTACAGCTACAGTCTGAGGCAAAACTGAACAAGTATGTAGAACTCCTTCCTCTGCCCAAAAATGACTTGGATGTGGAAGATGGAACTGTCTGCTCAGTTGCCGGCTGGGGATGGACCAAAATAAATTCAAACAAGAACTCTGACCATCTTAAAGAAGTAAATGTAACGATTATAAACAGATCAAAGTGCAACAGTCCAAAGTATTACAACAAGAAGCCTTTAATAACCATGAACATGCTCTGTGCTGGTGACAAAAGAGGTGGAAAAGATGCATGCTGTGTAAGTTGAACTGTTTAAAAAGTAGTTGCAATGTCTAAACAAAACAATTAGAATTGATGATTTTAGTTAGTGATTTGCTTCATAAAATATATTTGTTGCCTATAACCAATGTATTCTTGTGCTATTCAATATGTTACTTATTCTATTTCGTTGTTATCTACATTGCAACTTCTGGGTAGTTGCTTACACTCAAATCTGGATATTGCAGTGAGCCTAAATGGGCTTAGCTGAAACTCACGCTGATGGTTCCACCAGGACCTGTCATTTGGAACCTTGGTCTCATTGCCCAGAAGATATAATACTTCTAATGTTAACTTTTTTAGGGCTGCGCTAGCAGCCCTAAAAAAGTATTGATCCTAAAAAAAGTATTAGAATTGATCCTCCTCACAATCTACCTGAAAACCAACAAAAGTGTTAAGATATTTTCACTCCTTATCACCCCAGCTCCTATCCCTCCCAGCTCCTCCAGCTCACTGACTTTGAAAGCAGTACATGACGAAGACAGAAGGCCCCTCAATGAAGTGTTGTCCCCAACATGGGCACAACAAAGATACCAAGATGGAAATGAACTGGGTGTGTGGGCCCTTGCTAAAGAAGCCCTTAGAATAGCAAGGCAAGATGGGGAGTTTGAGGCTCCTGTTGGGATGCGAACACCAAAGAAGTCAAGGGTATTTGTGGTGTGGGAGTGCCAGAGATGCCAGGAGGTGTAGGTGGATGGAAGTGCCAAAGTAACTTGATACAAAATATTTATACCAACATATTAACCTCAGGAGGTTCCAGTTTTCATTTAAATTCTGCTATGATCTTATGAAGCACAGTTAAACCTTCTAATGGTTATTCCTTGACCTGTTATGGTTGAACTTCATCCACCTTTTGAATGAGATTGAGATCTATTCATGTCCTTCTATTTAGAGATGAGAATTCATGGCTGTGAAATCCGTGTAGACTTTCCAATGTTTGGTGTCAAACTATGTTGGACAGTTGTAGCTAATCTTTAAAGTAAAGCGCTTTGCCCTTGGACCATCAACCTCTGTTAGCTATAAGCAGGTTTTTGTCTGGCAATACTCACTATTTGATAATATTGTGACACTGGTCCCCATGTCTAGTTTGAAACTCTTGAGATGTCAAATTGACGTAAATATGTACATACCAAAATGTGTGGTCTGGGTCATACATTTTCCTGAGGAAATCTTTGGCTTTATCTTCTACTGGATATTGTTCTACCTCATTTTTGTTCCTTGTGTGATGCTTCTTTATGTTTTTTTTGTTTCCTGCGGCTGTGTCCTGCTTCAGTGGATTTTCTGATGGTGAGCTATTTCCTTACAAGAAATGGATTTGTATTTTGAAGTTGAGCACTGTTCACACCAGTGAGGTTTCTTTGATCCACCATATTAGCAAGAACTTTCAGTGCCTGGTGTCTGACCTCGCCATTGCATTAGCTTATTTGCTTTATTTTTGTGAAATTGTCCCTTGAGACATGAATAGATTCTGTAGATGTTCTGTGCCAAGTTTTATCTTCTCTTCTTAGGATTGATCTCTTATGCTTCCAGACTTCTGTTTCATTCATGACATGAATAGCTTTCTCCAAAATTAGGTCTTTTTTAGACTGTCATAAAAATTCATTATTAATGCTGACAGCGATCTGGTTTCTCACAAATTCAGGCTTTAACTCTTAATAGTTGTCTCTCTCCACTAGACTTAGGGATTATTAATGGAATTAACTCTTTGTAACAGTACTGATGTCATAGCTTTAGAATGTGATTACACAAGTCTCAACGTGAAGTCATCTTAACTTGAACTCAAACTCAAGATCACTTCCACAGAACGCTCCACAGATACAGCTTTGGAGCTGCAAATTTCTTCAGTTTCTGTGCATCTTCTGTCAGGTCTGAATTGCTTTCCGTGTCATTCTCTGACATATCCCTACGCCTTGAGTGTCCCATAAGTTTGTGAGCTACACGGCCATTAGCAATCAGCAGTATCTGTTTGTGTTGAAGTCTGCTGAGTCACTAGAATTTTTCTTAATTTCTTGCTTTCTTTTCTTAAAGGACAAAATTGATTTTGCTTGGCCGACACAATTTACAAATGGTGCTAGTTACCACTGCTCACTAAGTTGTGCAGCTCCCACCATTGTCATTCACACTGCTGATCCCAATCCACTGCTCACCATGTTATGTGTGCTCCTTGAAACTTGAAATGCAATCACATAAACAAGGATGGCCATCTAGCTTGTCTAACTAGAAGAATTTTGCCAAATAAACACTATGATGTGATTTTCCCTCTGCAGTAAAGAATTCCATTGATTCACTACCCTCTCATTTCTTGTTGATTCTCTTTATAGTCTCTAGAAATAAGCAAGTTATAACTGCTTAATAACTCTTATGCATAAAAACATTGAACAGGTTTGGCAAAATACAAGTGTTAAGGTCTTTCAGCTTCAGAATAACAAACTTTTCTTGCTGTTTCAGGGGGACTCAGGTGGACCTCTGATATGTAAGGACGTGTTCCGAGGAATTGTGTCTTACGGGAAAAAATGTGGACTTGCCAAAAAGCCTGGCATTTATACAAGGCTCACGAAGGAGTACATGAAATGGATTCAGAAAGGAACAGCTTGAACCTTATCAAGTATTTAGGTTATGATGAGTTTTATGCGTCATTTTTATCTTCTGTGAGTCGATATAGTGTATGTAGCAAATGAAGTGGCATTTACTTTTTAAATTTCCATTTATTGAGATTATTTTAAATTCATGTGCTGTAAGTAAATTCAAAATAGGAGCCTGTATATATTTATCCCTCACTAAATGCTCAATCAAGTTACGAAACAGAACTTACGGTTTTCACATGCTTATGACAGAAGAATTGAGAAATATCACAAGTGAGTTGTTGAATTGGTAAATATATGCAGGTGCATTGTTTAAATAGCAAAATAAAATTCACCCTGTTCAGCATAAAAATTCAAGTCTTTTGCGTTTTAATAAATAAACAGTCATATTCTGTGTTCAATGTATTTGAAGTGTCAACTTAACTGGGTCGTTTGTAAACTCATTTCTGATGTGAGTTCAAACTCTGCTCCAAGAACTGAGACGATAAGTTAATGCCGTGCTGACGGAGTTTAGTGCTGTCGGAGTATCATCTTTACAAATGTACAAAATTGATAAACTGAATAAGACTAGCTGGTGTATCAACTCTGGTTGAAATATCATGGCCAAATATTTCCTGACTCTCTGTACAGTCAGTAAGAGGCCAATAAGGGGAAAACATACTCAGAAACATTCGTTACCCTTGTGGAGGGGGTCACAAAACAGATCTGTAGAACGATAACAGCACAGAAGGAGTTCAATGTATTTGTGCCAATTGTCTGTGCTAGGACTCCGATGGGATGATTGTGTTTGTGGTCAATGCTACTACTCCATGAGAAATGTCCAACTGAATCACCAAGATGGTTAGGTTGCATTATGTCTGCATTACTGCCATCTAGTACAAAACAAACAGAATCCCTCCAGGTTTCTCCCACACACACAAAAAAAAACAATCTATCATAACCTTCATCATAACACATGACAAAATGGGTTATGAACAGTTACTATGCAAACTGAAACTATACCTCCTTTAAAAGACAAGCACAGGCACATTCACACACAGTCAGGAAGAGACAGGCTGTACATCTCTGCTGAGTGATTGTAGGTGGGAAAAAAATAGCCAAGAAACAAAACCATCAATTAGATCACATTAGATCACATTGCTGGCAGCCTCAGAGTGATGGACAATCATTCATTGGGTAGCCAGGTCTTTCATTGGGCTAACAGTTCAGTTTTCAGAGTCTTTGAGCATTGGTTTTTACTCACAGAGAGAGGGTGAGAGAATGGGTTTCAGAAACAGCTTTGCTAACCTTAACTAAGGGTAATTACAAAGGAATAAGGGGAGAACTGGCTGAAGTGGACTGGAAAAGGAGTTTAGCAGCAACGACTATTGAGGAACAATGGTAGGCATTTAAGAAAATAGTTCATGGCTCACAGTAAAAATATATTCCAGTGAGGAAGAAGGATTCTTGGAAGAGGGTAAGTTAACCGTGGTGAACCAGGAAAGTCAGGGTAGCATCAGGTTGAAGTAAAAATAAACTGATGACATGGCAAAATTAGTGGGAAGCCGAACAATTGGGAAAATTTTGAAAACTAACGACAGCTAACCAGAAAAATTGAGTAAGAGGGAGAAAATCAATTTTGAGGGTAAACCTGCAAGTAACATCAAAATAGGCAGCAAGAGTGTCTTTAAATAAATTAAAGCAGAGAAAAACCACAGGGAATATCAACCCCATAGAGAATGAGACCCGAGCAACAACGGCTGAAAGCTAACTAAAAGTCCTGGATCTATGAGAGCTTAACCACACCCACTCAGGCTGCTTCTAATGTTGCAACTTTTAAAAAAAAACCCAAGGCCTTGTAAGTTGTTTATGTTCTCATAGACTGCTCTCCACCTGTCTGCAAACCTCTCTTTCTCTCCAAAAGAAACCAAGACAAAACACTCCTCTTAAAGTCACAGTATTGTCACACCTTGCCCCTTAAAAAAATGAGGTATCAATATACAAAGATGCGTTCATTTTTAAAAACCTTTAGTCCTACACTATTAGTACACTACAATGCATATACATTATATTGACTCTAGGCATGCAAACATTCACTTGTGCAGTCTATTTCAGTGTTTTTCATTTCCCGCCACCAAATGTCTCCACCTTTTTCATCGAAGTCACAACAACACATTGGCAATTATGTTCTCTCATCCTGCCAGTCTGGAATTTCTGTTGTTAAATTTCTCCAAAATCTTTAAGGGGTTATGATTAGTATATACAATTGTCTCAGACACATTATTAGTAATATAAATATTGAAATGTTGTAATGCAAACTCCAAGCTCAAGGTTTCCTTCTTAATCGTTGAATATTTCCATTTATGATTATTCAATTTTCTGGAAAAATACCCAATGGGTCTTTCTATCTTCTTTTTGTCTTCTTGTAAGTCAACAGCACCAACTCTCAACACCCTCATATTGATTGTTACCTTGAATGGCTTGAAGTGCGGCTAACACTAGGGCAGTGGTTAACACAGCTTTCAGGCTATCAAATGCCTTCTCACAGCTCGCCGTTCACTGAATTTTTCTGCGCTTCTTCAATAAGTCAGTCAGGGGAGCAACCACATGGCTAAAATTCAGTACAAATTTCTGATAAAAACCACTCACTCCCAGGAATTGTAGTACTGCTGTCTCTGTCGATGGCATGGGAAACACCCCAATAATCTTTGTTTTCATATCCTGCGGGCCTTTGTGTCCATGTCCGATAACATGGGTCAGGAATGTGACTTGGGCTTTTGCAAACTCACTCTTAGCCAGGTTTATCACCAAACCCGCCTCCCAAAGTCGCTTGAACAATTCCGATAGATTCCGATTAATGTTCCTTCCATGTGTGACTAAAAATCACCAGGTCATAGAAATCCAGAAATGACTTTACTGGTTACTCTTTGAAATGTGTTTCTTTTCATACCAAATGGCGTGACTTCAAACTGGTTCAATCCATTTGGTGTCATGAAAGCCAAAATTGTTTTCACTCTTTTGGATGAAGCCAGTATCCTCTGAGTACTTAGAACTTAGAAATATAAGCTGCTTGTCCCACCTTCTCAATACAGTCCGCCAAACGTGGCATAGGATATGATTCAGATTTGGTAACTGCACTGACTTTGTGATCCATACATATTTGCTGGGTACCATCTGATTTTGGCACCATTACTATGGGAAAGCCCCATTCAGAGTTGCAGTGAGAAGCTTTCACAAACTCAATGCAACTCAGACTTAGACAACAAAACATAAGATCCACTCGCTTATCTCACCATCTTGTTTTGATCAAGGATATCATTTTGTAGTTTTCCAGTCCTCTGGCACAACTTCCTGAATCCAAAAAGGATGAGAATGTTAAGCCCAAGGCCTCCCCATTTTTCTTCCTTGCTTCACTCGGTATCATTTGAGTATCTCATCTATTCCTGGTGACTTACCTAAGTACAGCCTTTCTAATATCCTCTTTTCTAGTTTTTAAACCGAATGTCTCAACCTTCACCCCTTTTGCTATGATTTTGACAGCATCTTCTTTCGTGGTGGAGGCAGCTATAAAGTATGACTGCTATCTGTCTCCATATGTAAGTCCAATTACTTATCACTAACCAGCCCCCTCCTCATGCTGTTCTTTCATTATTTATATGCCAAAAGAAGGCTTTTCAATTCATTTTTACATTAGCCACTTCTCTCTTCCTACCTTCTCTCTTTGCTTCTCTGATTTATTTCTTTCACTTCAGAGATGAACATTCAATATTCAACCTAATTCTCATGTGTAGTATCAAACCACAAATGCTTCATATGCTTCATCTTATTTTTCAGCTCAGGTTTTGTGGCCAAACCTTTCTCTTTGTAGCAATATAAATCAACGGTACCAGAGCTATCTTTCCTTTCAGGGCTTTACTTTGTTCTATTACAATTTTGCCTTTGAATCTTTGATTCAGGTTTATATGAGGTGGATTTGTTCTCACAACACTGAAATTGGCCCTTCCTGTCATTATTTACTTATACGTTGAATTGCTTTTTGTCCTTATCCATAACTGTCCTACACCTCATGATACTACAATAATTGTTCCCATACTCACAATTAAACTGTTTGACCCATTTTTTGCTCTGGAACCAGATTCAGCAATACTTCTTTCCTTAGGTCAGAAATGTAATGATTAAAAAGTTGCCCCAAACACACAGGGGGAAGCAATGGCCTGGCGGTATTATCACTGAACTGTTAATCCAGAGAGACAGTAAGAACTGAAGATGCTGGAGTCAGAGTCAATACAGTGTGGAGCTGGAAGAACACAGCAGGTCAGGCAGCATCAGAGGATCAGGAAAGTCAATGTTTTGGGCTTGTATCCTTCATCAAGTCCTGATGAAGGGTGTAAAGCTGAAACATCAACTTTCCTGCACCTCTGATGCTGCCTGACCTGCTGTGTTCCTGCAGCTCCACACTGTATTGACTCTGTTAATCCAGAGACCCAGACAATGGTCTGGGGACATGGGTTTGAATCCAATAGCAGATGGCAGAATTTGAATTCAATTAAAAAGAACTCTGAAATTAAGAGTCTGATGATGACCACGAGTCCATTGCCGATTGTCGGAGAAACTCATCTGGTTCACTTATGTCATTTAGGGAAGGAGTAAAAAACTGCCATCCTTACCTGTGACTCTAGACCCACAGCAATGTGATTGACACTTAACTTAATAAATGCTGGGCTAGCCCAGTGACACCCTCATGCTATGAATGAATTTAAAAAACAACTTGTAAGACTCTTCTCCCTTCTCTACCCTTAATATCGCAGTCCAGTTTAGAAATGATAAAACTCCATTATATAGGTTTTCTCTCTGTTGTCAGAATGTTTTCAGGTCTCATGTCCTTTGCAGTATCCAGTGCCTTCAGCTTTTTCTTGATGTTACATGGAGTGAATGGAATTGGATGATGACTGTCATCTGTGATGCTGAGGACCACGTGAGAAGGCTGAGACGGATCATTCAATTGACATTTATGGTTGAAGATGAATGCAAATAATTCAGCTTTTTCTCTTACACTGATCTCCTGGTCTCCTCTGTCAGTGAGGATGAGGATTTTTCTGGAGCCTCCATTTCCTATTCATTGTTTATTTGTCTATCACCATTCATGACTGGATGAGGCAGGGCATTCAGAGTTTAGATCTGAGGGTCTGTTTCCATGCTGTATGATTCTATGACCCTATGATCTGTTGATTATTGGATAAATTAGCCTTGTCTACTGCATGCTGCTTCA